GGAGCCAGTACCAAAGGGAAAAAAGGGTATAAAAAAGAAAAAGAGCCAAGAACATGAAAAGAATCGAAAATAATCGTCCAGCATACGAGTTCAAGGCCCAAAGAAAAAACACCTATGCAAAGTACCCAAAACAACAAATTACTAACTATATATATATATATATATATATATATATATATATATATATATATATATATATATATATATAATCATTCTACACCGAGCATAGCAATAAAGCCAATAAGACGAATGTTGTGCGAGAAATATGAAAAGAAAGCAAACACTATTAAAGAGAGTTATACAAAAGAACAAAAAGTAAGATTACGGAAGATAACGATTAACATTGCATTTAAATTTTTGAAGATCAAAATTAACTGGAAAACAACAAGCCTGAAGCGAGAGGTGCAAGAGAAGTAACTGTTTGCATAGAAGTTACGGTTACATCTAGCCATTTCAACAGAAGAATGATGAGATCACTCTGGCAATCTAGTAGTACGCTTAAAGTCTAGATGCCAAAGAGGAAAGCTCTTCAGAACAATTGCCATGAAAATATTTACGGGAAAGACACATGGAATCTAAGTGACAGAAATAGGATAGGGATTGACACCGAGATGGCTGGAGCAATAACTTTCCGTTTCTTCTTTGTATTTCATCAAGAATCTCGATATATATTAAAAAAAATATAACAGAACAAATACGAAAGCAATATTCAATATATAAAAAAATCATGGGAATATATATGTCAGGGATAAGACACATAAAAGAATAATACCAAAATACACACAGAAAATACTCTAAGGTACTATGAGGTAAAGCAAAAAATATGCGACAAGTAAAGTGTCTTTCATCACAGGAGTGGGTATTTAATATTTGGAATGCACATAAAATAAATATAATAGCGATAAAGTATCGCAGTATAATAATTTTAAAAGTAATGAATAAATATATATATATATATATATATATATATATATATATATATATATATATACGTTTTTTTTGAACATGTGCGTGTTGTCTGTATTTTTAATTTGTATTTAATACATTCTAATTAAAAAAACTAAATAAAAATAAATTCCAGTTAATTTAGCAATTAAGTGCAAAATCTGCATTGTCAATTTTCTTGCATAAATTATCTCTGGAAACATCGAAATGAAAATTGTTAAATTACTATTTTATTGTTTTTTTTGTTTTGTTTTTGTTTTGTTTTTTGTTTTTTTTGTCTAATCATTGCCCTCGAAAAAGACGCCATATATTCGACATTTACAGACGATGATTTTTTTTTAATTGTAGAATGAAATCAATGCAAAATCTTACTCTTTTCTTCACCTTTTTGATTGTTGAGTAAAAAAAAAATTAAATTAATTTTTAACAAATCATAAGTTAGAAGTAATTCTTAAATTTTAGGCACGGTTTGGAGCCGATTGTTTTCCTGTAAATTTCGTTAAATAACATGAGACTTTGTCAAAACTTTCGTCTATTCGACAACTTTAGCGATTGTTCATTTTCGACATTGTCCAACTCTCAATACTATTTATACCAAACTTATAATATATAATTGATTCCCTTTCACGTTATTGTCAGTTTTGTTATGTTCAGCCAAATTTACCTATTATTGTATTACGTTTATTACTGCAACTACTGCGAATACACACACACACACACACACACACACACACACACATATATATATATATATATATATATATATATATATGATAGAAATTAAGGAGGATTTGAGATAATTAAGTAATTCATCGAGTCTAGAAGAAACCTCAACAAAATGCAGAAAACACTGGACGGCCGTTTCGTCCTATATTTGGGATTCATCAGCAGTGCTCATCCACTACCGAGAAATGAAACCCAGACACTTGACAGGCAAACGTCATGCCAACTGTACTGACGTGCCTCGGTGACGAAGAGGTAGCGAACTAGACTCGATATAGCGCTGATCGATCCCATATCCCGTGGTGGAACTCATCCAAATATCCTTTACCCATAGGAGTGTACCCCCGAGAGCCACGACTACTATATCCATCCAGAGCATTAGAAGCCGGTTCACGCAAGGATATACAAATGATGGAAATTAAGGAGGATTTGAAATAAATAAGTAATTCATCGAGTCTAGAAGAAACCTCAAGAGAATGCAGACAGCACTGGACTATATTTAGTACAGTTGGTATGACGTTTGCCTGTTAATGTAACTGTCCGAGTTTCAATTCTCGGTAGTAGATGCGCACTGCTGATGAGTCCCAAATATAGGACGAAACGGCTTCTCTTGTTTGGTCACGAGCCGTTCTAAGCTTCGTATAGTTGCTTTAATTTCAGGAGAAAATAAAAACACAAACATTTTTTATTATGTTGGTCCTCGATCTAAGGTTCACATGCATTGATTCTGACTCGCAATCAAAATTTCGAAATTCCTTTCACGCCATATATTTGTTACGTATATCAATGTTTTAGGCATTTCTATTCCGTCAACAATGTGCCCATCCACAGAGATCATTATGACCAGTGTAATTTTATATCCCTTACGTTTTTTACACTCTAATTTATATCAACGCATAAATATCAATAAACGAATTTCCTGCTAAACATTTATTGGTTGTTTTTATTTGTTTTAAGCCAAAAGATAATCGTTTGAGGCAATAAAGTTTTGAAATAATAATTTATTGTTTAATTGAGTGGTATTTTGGCATGCACCAAACGAATTAACTAATCAAACCAAACTTTTAAGTGCCTTTGTTTATATGGGGTCTGCTTTGTTTCGAAGCCACTCAAGCAGGAACGCAGGAATTAGGGTTACTCGCGTGGGTGCGTTTTAAGAACAACATTTATTTGAAACTCTAAAATCAATTTTTTTCCATGAGAGCAAATGTTGTGAGACTGTAATCTTAGAACAGCGTAGCTGGATAGATTGCAGTCAGATTAACATTTTATGTAAGGAAAGAATTGAAATTAAGAGGATTTAGTATAGGAAAGCGAGAATAAAAGACTAAACATCAATAGACGGAATGCCTGGTGGTTAGCAAAAAGGAACAACCCAAGAAGCAATTTACATAATGGAGATTCCAGAATCAAACAAGTACAATAATTTAAATAATTTAGAAGTGTTTTAACAAAGGACCGAAAATGAGATATTGAAATCCGAATGTTCTTTTGGATAAGGGAAAACGCCTTCAAAAAATAAACAAAGTATTAAGAAATAGAAAAATTTTGTTAGATACACAGAAAGAATACTGAACTGTTATGCATTATCACTCCTCTTATAAACACAGATGAAGAAGAGACTTGCCGCAACATACATGTGGTTCTACAGAAACAAGTTGAGAATGACATGGACTGAACATGTGAGCAACGACAAAGTTTTAGAGAAAATGGAAACAAAAAAGACACGTATAATCAACATCAGAGACTGTTAAAATTTCTACGCTACCTAATGAGGAAAGAGGGATTGGGAAATTTGATACTTAAAAGACAGATTGAATGCAAGAGGGACAGAGGAAAATAACGCATAACTTACCTAGGGAGCTTGGGCAATGGATAGCAGAATAAGGTCCAAGAGATATAACAAAAACACAAAATGTATTAAGATCTCCGAAGAACAAGAAGTTGGGGAAAGCCATGATTGCCTACGTTCTGAAAGAACACGGAACATACATTAGCAGATTATCTAAATATTTATACATCTCCCTCACTGCGCCCTTCCCTCACGTAGTCTCACATATCAGAAGCCTCCCGCCCCGATGTACTATAAACTAGTATTTGATCTTCTTTTATATGCAGAGCCTTTTAAGTTCGTAAGAAATCACGGCCCCCCCAACGCTGTCTTTTTTTAAGTCAATTATTATTATAAAATGGACAAAGTCCGACAATTATTTTAAGACATTTTTTATGTTTATACGTTCTTTTTATAGATACAAATATTTAAGTAAATGTTTGTATCTGTTTGTAAATGTTTGTATCTATAAAAAGAACGTGTAAACATAAAAATGTCTTAAAATAATTGTCGGACTTTGTCCATTTCATAAGGTGTGACGTCATTTATTTACATTTGGATACGTATTGAACAGATATGAATCTACGTGAGAGATTCATGGAAGATTGTAGTTTAAAAGAAGTAAAATCGACCTTACTATCCGAACAATCCTCTGTGGTTCAATCAGTTAAGGCACGTCGAGCTATATGGCGGTTTCGTATAGGATACAAGTTCGATTCCTGTCGGAGGACGCATATTTTCTATGAAAATTTCTCGGATATTCAGGCCGGTAAATGTTATTAATACTGTTTATTATAAACAGAGCATTTACTTAAATATTTGCATCTATAAAAAGAATGTTAAACATAAAAAAATGTCTTAAAATAATTGTCGGACTTTGTCCATTTCATAATGTGTGACGTCATTTGATACGCCATGAGCAGTTATGGATGTACGTGAGAGATCCATGGATGATTGAAGTTTAAAAGCCGTAAATTCGACCTTGCTAACCGAACGCTCCTCTGTGGCCAAATCGGTTCAAAGGCACGTCAGGCTATATGACGGTTCGCTATAGGATACGGGTTCGAATCCTGTCGGAGTACGAATATTTTCTATGACAATTTCTCGGATATTCAGGCCGGTAAATGTTGTTTAATACTGTTTATTATAAACAGCATTTACTTAAATATTTGTATCTATAAAAAGAATGTATAAACATAAAAATGTCTTAAAATAATTGTCGGACTTTGTACATTTCATAATACACACACATATATATATATATATATATATATATATATATATATATTTATATATATATTAGATGCACATGAATCATTAAATATATTATTAAACTGTGGCAAGCTACAAATTGACTAACTTCACGGTCAATTCATAGTCATCGTAGCAACTGCAGAGAAATATAACCGTCACAGACAGCGTTCTACAAGTTTAATTACAGCGCCTTTGTCTTCAGAGAAATCCAATTCCTCTCAATTCCTGGACAATATCAAGTTCGGCCATGTTCTTACGCAGAATCTTCTTGCCAACAACGCCCACTCTTTCTCTCTCTCTCTCTCTCTCTCTCTATCTCTCTCTCTCTCTCATTTGTCTCATTATCCCCTCCTCCCAAGAAATGAGTGAAGGGCTATGTCATTAGTGCCCAGGTCAATTCCGATGCCGTCGGATGTTTGGACTGTACTGTTTAGTAATTTACAGCGGCAAACGGCGAATGTATCTTTAGCGATCAAAATCAGTTTAATTCTTTGCTCTGGGGCAACCGCAGATTTGAGGTCGCGGTGTCGTACGTAAGAAGCGATTTCTATGAACTGTGCGGCCCATCTATTTCTATTGCTTTACATACATGAACATTTCTCTTGAATCTCGGACGAAATATTTGTATGTCTTCTAATAATTATTTATACGTTGCGAACTGCCTGTACTCAAAATGTAGATATATTTGTCAAAGAATTATAAAACAATGCTAACAAAAAAATAAAGCCTTATTGTCACAAAGAGAGAAATTTTATAGAAAGTCATTTTATTACCCAGTGCCATTTACATTCAACAAACTTGACTTGACCGGTAATTTCTTCTTCTGGATGTCATTTCAAGGAAACTACGAAATCTCCTACAGAAGATAGTGAAAGAGAGTGAGAAGAAGGGACTACGTATAAACTAAAAGAAGACATAATGCATAATCATCAGCAAAAAGATAGGACCGAAATACGATTTTCTGGTCCTGGGACAATAAACTCAAGCATGCGGAAATTTAAATATCTGGGAAGTATTCTGACAGAGGACGGTAAGCGCGACGCTGAGATCCGAAGACGTATTGGGATGGCCAGAGACGCATTCCAAAAGCTGGGCAGAGTATTACGAAACAAGAGAGTTTCATTGATAACCAAGGAAAAAGTGCTGAACTATATGATATCTGTCCTCCTTTACGGCAGCGAATGCTGGACGATTGTCTGAAAGATGAAGAAGAGACTCGGGGAAAACGGAGGTTTGGTTCTGCAGAAGGATGCTGAGGATACCAGGGAACGAACATGTGAGTAACTATAGTCTCCTGAAGAATGTTTGAGAAAATCCCACAAGATCTTGCTAATATTCATTTGTCTTAATATTCAGCGTGTCTTGGGCAGGAAAAGCTGCTGGTGCTCATCCCACACCAGTCCTGTGGTCCTTCGAATTACTCAATGTGCTTTAATCGCTAGTTTAGCCACAGTAAATTTACATCCAGTTCCTTACAACGTATAACTATCCTTGCCAGAATATATGTCATCACAATTAGTGATATTTAATAGCAAAGATGATGGGAAGAAAAAGACTATACATGTATTTGGCTAGATTGCAAAAATTATTTTTTAAAATTTTGAAACTATCAGAGTCTGTCGTTCATGCGCATGTGTAGTGACAACAAGGTCAACACACCCAGTCCGATGAAGTCCTAACGAATGAAACGCGTCACAAATAAACGTTTTCCATTCTATGTTACAATTTCTTCAATACTGTTCATGGTATATAAAAATATATATCGTTATCACACACACACAGACATATATATATATATATATATATATATATATATATATATATATATGTGTGTGTGTGTGTGTGTGTGTGTGTGTGTGTGTTGCAGGGGGTTGATAAATGAAACATCCAGATACAAGCAAGCGTGTACGCGTTTGCTGGTGTTGCTGGAAGCAAATAAATAATCGTCACATGAGATGTAAATATGATAGTGCTCGATTCCACCCAGCGAAACTATAGTCGTACGCGAAAACGTCGGTATACGTATATGTACTAATTAATACACACACACACACACACACATATATATATATATATATATATATATATATATATATATATTGAGCAGCAGTTCGATATATAGATATAAATATATATAAACTAGCAGCTTGGCCGGGCGTTGCCCGTGCTTGATTCAAAAATCTTACGACTCATACAGCAATCGCTATCACTTGACTTAAAATATTTTTGCCCTTCCTTGCCTTTAAAGGAGTGCCCTTTGACCTGCTGATGTTGCTACATGCCATACTTCTTGCCTATCTCACACAGCGAATTTTTTTCTAAGCTCTATACTAAACATTAAATCTGTTTCGAAAAAAGAACTAAACAAAATGAACACAAAACGATCAGCTTTAAAAAAAGGACTCGTAACTGGAAAAAGCAAATGAAAAAAAACAATGTTAACAACAAATACTTTTTCACACCCAACCCAGTTCTGCGGAATCAGAATCAACGTTGAGTTTAAGCAAGCGAATGAGCCAATTGGAGTAAAGTGTCATGCAGATTTAAATTTTTCCCACTTGTTACGAAAGCAGCTATCGATTTCTTTTGCATGCTAGTTAACATTCGTGTCAGTCAGCTGTTGGCTCTCACGCTGGCCAATAGAATCTTCCTGCCTATTCGTGGCAGCCAGCTATAGGTTCCCACTCTGGCCAGTACAAAATGGCAGCAAACTACATGAAAACTGCCGTAGAAGCATGAAAAAATCGATTATTTCCACTATCGATGGGAGTTGGGAAATCCAAAGTCGGTCTTGGCCTTCCCGCTAACTTGGAGCATGTGCATGTAAATTTTGGTGCAAATCCGTCGAAAATTGCGGCCGTGCATTCGTTACACACACGCACATACACACACATCATCATCATCCTCATTCTGCCTTTTATAGATAGAGATATATATATATATATATATATATATATATATATATATATATATATATATATATATATATATATATTTATGAGGTGTAATTAAAGGTTCGACCCAGAAACACTAATGTTCGCTTATTCGGTTTGAGTATAGAAAGCGGGCCGGGTCTAGAACTTTTCAGCCACTAATAGATATATAGATAGATAGATAGATAGATAGATAGATTGCATATTCGTGTGTAACGAACCCACACACATTTTATCATTTGTAAGTGGACCCCCTGTTGTTCATTGCACCTGAATGATTCAACATCTGGATAAATAAACAAAGCATTCAATTAAGATCCACTTGTGCGTGCGTGCGTGCGTGTGTGAATGCGTGCGTGGGTATATGTACGTGCGTGTGTCTGTGTATGGGTTTATGCTTTCAATCGCATCTGTGTAATCTTCTTGAATTTTCGTTGTTGGGCCGACCTTATATGTAATTGAATAATTACAATCTTTTATTCTAATTTTTACCTTTTTTTCCAATTCTCGATTTCTTTCTCTCGCTTTCTTTTTCCGTCATCGCTTTTAAATTCCTGCAGGACTTTCTTTCCTTCTTTCTTTTTACTTTTAATTTTCTTCTCTATTCTTTTCTTTTACCCACAGCTTCCCTTTCATCATTTTCCGTTCATTCTCTTTTTAAACGATCTTGCTTTATTCTTCCCGTTTTTATTTACTTCTCTTTTGAGTTAAATACTACAGCCTGTCTGAAGTTATTATGCAAATCACATAAACCTCAATAAGTGGAATTTCCTTTGAACAATTTTTGTCCAATTTTAAATGATTAATTTAGACGTCGAAACAAAGCTTAATTTAAACGTTTAGGTAGTTCGAAGTAAACATAAAAACTTCTGACTGCATCTACTTTCATATTGCTTTCAATTAATTTTTTCTTCATTTTTTTAGCCTTTCTTTTCTTTTTTCTTTCTTTCATTTGCTTTCAGTCTATCTTTCTATAACATTTTCTCTCTTTCTGTCTGTCTGTTTTTTTTTATTGGTTAAAATTTCTGTCTTTCTCTCTTGTTTTTGTCTTCGTTTTACGTCATTGTTGTTAATTCTTTGAATTTTCTTCCTCTTCAATATATTTCTTCTTTCTAAGGATTTCGTTCTTTCGTTTAGTTTTTTTTCATGCAGTTTATTTTTACTTTCTTATCTATACTTCTCTTTCTCTTCATTTCGTTTACCAAACATCTTTCTCTCCCTCTCTCTCTCTTTCCTTCTCTCTTTCTTTCTCTGGCTCTCTTTTTTCTCTCTCTTTCTTTTTCTTTCATTCTTTCTTTCTTTCTCTGGCTCCCTTTCTTTTTTCTTTCATTTTTAATTATTTTCTTTCTATTCTCTTTCTTTTCATTCCGTCTGCTAAGCGTCTTACCCCCCCCTCTCTCTCTCTCTTTTTCTTTTCTTTTTTTGATTGTTTTAACATTCCGTCTACCTAACATATTCTTCATTTTCCATTCTCTCTCTTTCTTCCTTTCTCCCTCTCTCTGTCTATCTCTTTCTATTTTTAACATTTTTATTTCTTTTCTCTGTCTCTCCATTCCGTCTACCTAGCGTCTTCTTTATTCTTTCTTTCTCTTTATGTGTGTGTGTGTGTATTTGTGTGTTTCTTTGTTCCTTTCTTTTTTTCTTTCATTTTTGTTTTATTTCTGTTCTCCTTTTCACTCCGTCTTCCAGACCTCTTACCCTCACTCTCTTTCTTTCTTTCTTTCTTTCTTTCTTTCTTTCTTTCTTTCTTTCGTTCGTTCTTTCTTTCTTTTTTTAACTGTTTTAACAGTTCGCTTGCCTAGCATCTTCTTCATGTTGTCTTTCTTTCTCTCTCTTTCTTACTCTCTACCTCTCTCTGTCTTTCTCTTTTCTTTTCTATTTTTAACGTTTTTATTTCTTTTCTCCATTCCGTCTACCAAGCGTTTTCATTCTTTCCTTCTCTTTCTTTCTCTTTCTCTCTCGCCCTTCTCTCTCTCTTTCTCTTTCTTTCTACCTTTTTTTTTCTTTCCTCTGCCAATCCTCTTACCCCATCTCTCTTTCTTTCTTTCTTTTTTTCTTTCTTTCTTGCTTTCTTTCTTTTTTAACTGTTTTACCATTGCGTCTGTTTAGCATCTTCATTTTGTCTTTCTTACTCTCTCTTTCTCTCTCTCTCTCTCTCTCTCCTCTTCTATGTCTTTTCCTTTATATTTTTCACGTTTTTATTTCTTTTCTCCTTCTCTCTATTCCGTTCACCTAGCGTCTTCTTTCTTTCTTTTCTTTCATTACTTAATTCAAACTTACTATTCAATATAATTCTTTTTTTCTCTCTCGCTTACTTCTTCATTATACACTATTTTCGTTCTTTCCTTCTATTTTATTTTTTTTCAATATGTCTTTCTTACTTCGAAGTTGTTATTCTTTATTCCAGGGTTTGTTCGTTTTTTAAGAAAAAAATATTTCAGTTGCACTTCTCTTCATTCTCACTTCCTCGCCATATTTTTCCTTCATTCTTTCTTGAACTGAAGTATCCACCATTTTTGACTGAGTTTTGAAATTCAATCTCCTCAGTTTTCTTAGGCGACGCACATTTAAATTTACACAAATTCCTTTATAATTTCTTTTTACTGATTTACAACTTTGTGCGTCTTTTTTTCTTCTTCGTTCCTTCTTTGTCTTTTACCCATATCAAATTTTCAAATTAAAGATAACCTAAAATTGAATCCAGCTGGTAAACGAACACAGCTGCAACGTCACTAGTAAAATCTTGGTCTTCCTGTCATTGAGTATTGTCTAGTTGAACATTCCTACCGATTAAGTATTTTGATTCTCACTGGGTGCCACTACATAATGCAAAACTATGTTGAGCTTGAACTTTGGCCCGCTTTTATTAAAGACGCTTTATCTGGAAAGATGATTTTTACGTTGTAAATTAGAATTTTAATTTGTAGCCAGTTTCTATGTTGTCTCAGGATCACCTAACTATTAATAAAAATGCTATGAAAGAAAATGGTCATTTACTTTTGGCATTCGTTTTATTAAGTCTGGCAGCTTCGATTCTAAGAGGCAATAGTAGAACTGAATGTCGCACGTTGGCTCATCGTTATTACGCGTGTGGTATTAGCCAGTTGGATGTGGGCGGCCTATCGACGCGTCAGAATTCTCGAGACCCTGTGTTAAATTCGCGCTGTTTCAAAACCCAAGCAAAGGAAAACCATCCCTGTCAGTATGGGCTACCAGGAATCTCTTCAGTAAGTCTATCAGATATTTTCCAATCAATATGCGGGCTCCAACTACAATTGGAAATATGGATGTCCTCATGTGCCACATTTTTTGAGATTTCTAGTTCGAGATCATTGTATTTTCATAGTTTTTGAAAAATTTCAGAGTTACATTACAATCTGCAGAGACTGCCATGTTAATAAAGAACACATTCTGTTTTCGTGGTCTTTGATCACGATGCCTGGGCGATTAACTTTTGATTGTTCTGTCTGTGTGTATTGTAAAGTCCTATAAAATTGTTACAAGCCCTATTTCCCGTAAAATTTTCATATTTCCTAGTGTTTAACCTTGCCCTACGTAACCACTGATGGGTACTGGTTTTGTCTTCATCAGTTTGTTTGGTACGGGCAGAGTATTGACCATGAAGAGGCTCATAAGCCCGTACCAAACAAACTGATGAAGACAAACCTTTCAGTGATGAAAACCAAAATCGTCAGTGATTAGGTAGTGCAGGATTCAAAGCTGAAACCCAGGTTTTTTTTCTTGATGATCAGGACGAATGCTTGCTAACTTGAATTTATAAAGCAAACATACTGAAAAAATGAGTTAACCCGAAATGCAGATTCTGTGATAAATATCCAGTAAGAATTTACCATCCTTACACGATAGTAGCACACAACAAATATAAAACTCTGCAAGACAGTGTGGGCTATTATTATTATTATTATTATTATTATTATTATTATTATTATTATTATTATTATTATTATTATTATTGTCATCATCATCATCATTCGATTTCTGCTATGGACACACTACCTACCAAGTCTGCGGAAAGACCTAAGGCAGGTCGTGGTGTGTTGTTATGGCCACATTTCATGTTAATTTTTTTTTTTTTTTTTTTTTTTTTTTTTTTTCCGATGAAGTTGCTAGCGTTACATAGATCCTTAGTGTGTGTGCTGTAAATAAGACAATTTTCTGTATGTCTCTCTTAAGCTGGGGTTTCAGGGATTCTTTCAATGTGTTGTTTTGTTCCATTTTTTATAATTCCAAGTGCACCTATTACCACTGGTATTATTCTTGTTTTCAATTTCCACATTTTTTCTATTTCAATTTCCAGGTCTTTGTATTTTGATAGTTTTTCAAATTCCTTGGTTTGCTATGTTACAATCCGCTGGACAAGCCATATCAATTAGTAGGCAAAGTTTTTTTCTTTCTGGTTTTTGACAATAATGTCCGGCCTATTTGTTTCAATTTTTCTGTCTGTGTGGATGGTATAATCCCATAGAATGACATCTTCTATTTCTGTAACCGGCGCTGGCCGTTGTTACTGTTTGCTTTACATTTTCCAAAGTGTTTGCAATTGTCCAGTGTAAAGCGATTTTTATATTCATTTGGGGCAAATAGAACATCCTGAGATTAGATGGTCGATTGTTTCTTGGTATTTGTCACAGAACCTGCATTTTGGATCCACATTATTATGCATGATATTTGAAAATTCTAGTGAAAAGACTCTGGTCTTATTATTAATTATTATTATTATTATTTCTGCTATGGACACACTACCTACCAAGTCTGCGGAAAGACCTAAGGCAGGTCGTGGTGTGTTGTTATGGCCATTTCATGTTAATTTTTTTTTTTTTTTTTTTTTATCTCCGATGAAGTTGCTAGCGTTACATAGACAAAGTTCTCCTTAGTGTGTGTGCTGAATAAGACAATTTTTCTGTATGTCTCTTAAGCTGGGGTTTCATTCTTTCAATGTGTTGTTTTGTTCCATTTTTTATAATTCAAGTGCACCTATTACCACTGGTATTATTCTTGTTTTCAATTTCCACATTTTTTATTTCAATTTCCAGGTCTTTGTATTTTGATAGTTTTTCAAATTCCTTGGTTGCTATGTTATTATCCGCTGGACAAACCATATCAATTAGTAGGCAAGTATTTTTCTTTCTGGTTTTATTAATAATGTCCGGCCTATTTGCTTCAATTTTTCTGTCTGTGTGGATGGTATAATCCCATAGAATGGTGACATCTTCTATTTCTGTAACCGGCGCTGGCCGATGTTCATACTTACACATTTTCCAAATTTTTATTGTCCAGTGTTTTGCCCCACTCTATCGTGACGATTTTTATATTCATTTGGGGCAAAGTATTATTATTATTATTATTATTATTATTATTAATATTATTATTATTATTATTATTATTATTATTATTATTTTTTATCCTATATAATACTTTCCTAAAAATTTTTCTTTTTGTTTTATTATTATTGTTGTTGCTGTTGTTATTATTCTTGTTGTTGTTGGCTTCTAAAGAAAAAAAAATATTTTTAAGACGTATGAAAGAAGAAAAATGTTTTCATGTATATTATGCTTTTTAACCATGTTTCCTAAGATGTTTCTGCTTTCTTCTTTTCTCTCTTTCTTCTTCTTCTTCTTCTTCTAATAATAATAATAATAATAATGATAATAATAATAATAATTATTATTATTATTATTATTATTATTATTATTATGCTTTCCTAAAAATACCTCCTCCTTCTTGTTTTGTGATTATTATTGTTGTTGTTGTTGTTGTTATTGTTGCTGTTATTGGCTACTTAGGGAAAAAAGAAATATTTTTAGGAGGTCTGAAAGAAGAAAAATGTTTTCTTATATATCATGCTTTTCAACCATGTTTTCTTCTTTTCATCTTACTTCTTTTCTGTCTTTCTTCTTCTTTTTTTTCTTCTTTTTCTTCTTAAAATTATTATTATTAATAATAATATTATTATTATAACCCGTCGCTTTCTTGACATATGTCTTTCTATAAATCTTCTTCTAAAGCGTCTTATTAACATTCTGATCATGCGTGTTTTAATTTTTATTTCGCTGTTTCTGTCGTTATGAAATCCAATCAGAATTTAATTAGAATGAACACCGGGGTGCTTCTCATAAAGTCTTTGATCTTTCCAGGACATCACACAAAAGAAAATGAACAGCGCTCAAATCTTAATACGAGTTGTATGATTAATATTTATTTTCTGGAACATGAGATTAGTTTTGTGTTAAACCGAAAAACGACACATTATTCAACTTCATCAAACGCCAAGTAAATGAAAAGATGTTCGTTTTTTGACACAGGAAATAGGGTGTCTCAAATTTCCATATGCATGCTCACGTGTAAAACATAATTTCTTCGTAGTTATCGAGGAAAAGAGTCACTTATAAGATGAACATTGTATGTTTTAAGGAGTTGAAAGTTAGCACTGATAGGACAATGCAAACGTTTGTTAGACTGAAAATAGATCAATACATACCCAGATTTGCATTAAAATATATTTTCCAACGAGAGTTGAGACTGCGTACATTTTTGTGAATGAGTGATTATACTTGTCCGTATTTTCCACTTCTCAGGGTTATATTGTATAACTATATTGTATTGCTCTATTAGCTTGCTTGTCCCTGTCGCAAATTCTCGCTCAGATATATTTTTTGTTTACTCTACGTCCACAAAGCTAATCCCTGGTTTATCCTGCAATTATGCCCTGCGGATTTTACTTTCTGGGTGGGACTTCATAAACTACCACAATCTTGAATTGAAGAAGGCAAATACGCTCAAGTACTGTTATAGTGGAACACACCTATTCTATAGTTAATAGACTCGCCCACATATAATAAGTAGGAGTAGTAAGAGTAACGAGGGGTCGGTCAGTGAGTCAGTCAGTCGATGCCGGACGACAGTTTGAAAACCCCTGAGCTAGAGTATTCGAGATGCAACCATTTATCATTGTATCATCTGCAGATATATTCACTATTCTTCTACGTGCAGTGTCCCTGCAGGACGTCGGCGATCATGGCTCTCCAAAATTTCTTCTCCTCTTCCTTCTTCTTTTTCTTCTTGTTCTCCTCTTCCTCCTCTTCCTTTTTCTTCTTCTTCTTCTTCTTCTTCTTCTTCTTCTTCTTCTTCTTCCTTTTTCTTCTTCTTCCCCTCTTCTTCCTCTATAAAATTTCTTGTCCTTTATAGCGCTTAATAAATTTTGTCTTTTTGTTATCT